GAAAGTTGTTGTTTCACCTTATAGTTTAAAATCCCCAATGGAGGGGAGTGTGGGCCGGAACACAAGGCAGGAACCTGGTGGCAGGAACTGAAATACAGTCCTTGGAGAAATTGTACTTATTGATTTTTTTTTTTTTTTCTACTGGCCTGTACTCAGCTTGCCTTCATATATAACCCAGGAACAACTACAGTGGGCTGGGCCCTCCCACATCACTCAACCATTAAGAAAGTGCCTCATAGACATGCCCATAGGCTAATCCAATAGAGGCAGGATCCCAATTGAGGTGCCCTCTTCCCAGATGTGTCAAGTTGACAACAGAAGCTACCAGCAAACCATATAATCCTACTGTGTTATCCAAGCCTTCATCGTTTTACAATCTGCTGTTGCTTGCTTTGCAGACAGAGGTAAAAGTCATTTAAGTCAATATGATTTCAGGGCCAGGCATGGTGGCGCATGCCTTTAATCCCAGCACTTGGGAGACAGAGGCAGGCAGATCTCTGTGAGTTCAAGGCCAGCCTGGTCTACATAGTGAGTTTCAGAACAGCTGGGGTTATAGGGAGACCCTGTCTCAAAAAGACCAAAAAAAATCAAGTTATATATTTCCAATATACAGTGGTACAGAAGAAACATTTCCATTTCATATCCCTGAAAGAAGGGGTGGGAGCATAGCAAAGAGTAACAAAGACAAATGAAGACTGAAACATGGAAACACTAACATAAAGTTGTGCACCTCTGTGTCCACCATCTGGGGATCATGATGGCAGCATCTGATCTCCAAATGGCTTATGTCTCCCTACACTCCAGCTGTAGCACACAGCCTCTCTCTTGAAAAACATTGCACTCTGTGTATGCTCTATGCATGGTTACTTAGCTGAAACCCCATGTTTTTTGCAAATCCAAAATCCTGGTGTCTTCATTGGAACTTAGGCTTTACACAAATCACAGCTTCATGCTATATCGTCTCTGGGATTCCTTGCAAAGTCCCTGACCCTCCTGCACATTACCTGACCTCGGTGGTTCTCTAAAAATGTGGTACAAAACTTCAAGACCAACTAAATCTTGTATCCTTCATTCCTGAAAAAAAATTATTATATAGATAATCTT